CTGGATGCAGTGTAATATTGAATTAAATCGCAGTCAATGTCCAATAAATGCAGCGTAATATTGGATTAAATCACAGTCAGTGTCCACTGGATGCAGTGTAATATTGAATTAAATCGCAGTCAATGTCCAATAAATGCAGCGTAATATTGAATTAAATCACAGTCAGTGTCCACTAGATGCAGTGTAATATTAAAATTAAGCACTGTCAATGTCTACTAGATGATGCGTAATATTGGATTAAATCACAGTCAATGTCAACTAGATGCAGCGTAATATTGAATTAAATCACAGTCAGTGTCCACTAGATGTAGTGTAATATTGAAATAAAGCACAGTCAGTGTCCACGAGATGCAGTGTAATATTGAATTAAATCACAGTCAGTGTCTACTAGATGCAGCGTAATATTAGATTAAATCACAGTCAGTGTCCACTAAATGCAGCGTAATATTGGATTAAATCACAGTCAGTGTCTACTAGATGCAACTTAATCTTGGATTAAATCACAGTCAGTGTCTACTGGATGCAGCGTAATATTGAATTAAATCACAGTCAATGTCCACAAGATGCAGCTTAATATTGAATTAAATCACAGTCAGTGTCCACGAGATGCAGTGTAATATTGAAATAAATCACAGTCAGTGACCACGAAATGCAGTGTAATATTGAATTAAATCACAGTCAGTGCCTACTGGATGCAGTGTAATATTGAATTAAATCACAGTCAATGTCCACGAGATGCAGTGTAATATTGAATTAAATCACAGTGAGTGTCCAATAAATGCAGCGTAATATCGGATTAAATCACAGTCAATGTCAACTAGATGCAGTGTAATATTGAATTCAATCACAGTCAGTGTCCACTAGATGCAGTGTAATATTAAAATTAAGCACTGTCAATGTCTACTAGATGCTGCATAATATTGGATTAAATCACATTAGATGCAGCGTAATATTGGATTAAATCACAGTCAGTGTCCACTAGATGCAGTGTAATATTGAAATAAAGCACAGTCAATGTCAACTAGATGCAGTGTAATATTGGATTAAATCACAGTCCGTGTCCACTAAATGCAGCGTAATATTGGATTAAATCACAGTCAGTGTCCACGAGATGCAGTGTAATATTGAATTAAATCACAGTCAGTGTCCAATAAATGCAGCGTAATATTGAATTAAATCACAGTCAGTGTCCACTAGATGCAGTGTAATATTAAAATTAAGCACTGTCAATGTCTACTAGATGCTGCGTAATATTGGATTAAATCACAGTCAATGTCAACTAGATGCAGCGTAATATTGAATTAAATCACAGTCAGTGTCCACTAGATGCAGTGTAATATTGAAATAAAGCACAGTCAATGTCAACTAGATGCAGTGTAATATTGAGATAAATCACAGTCAGTGTCTACTAGATGCAGCGTAATATTGGATTAAATCACAGTCAGTGTCCACTAAATGCAGCATAATATTCAATTAAATCACAGTCAGTGTCCACGAGATGCGGTGTAATATTGAATTAAATCACAGTCAGTGTCCAATAAATGCAGCGTAATATTGATTTAAATCACAGTCAGCAGTGTCCACGAGATGCAGTGTAATATTGGATTAAATCACAGTCAGTGTCCACTAAATGCTGAGTAATATTGGATTAAATCATAGTCAATGTCCACTAGATGCAGCGTAATATTGGATTAAATCACAGTCAGTGTCAACTAAATGCTGCGTAATATTGGATTAAGTCACAGTCAATGTCTACTAGATGCAGCGTAATATTGAATTAAATCACAGTCAATGTCTACTAGATGCAGTGTAATATTGGATTAAATCACAATCAATGTCCACTAAATGCAGCGTAATATTGAATTAAATCACAGTCAGTGTCAACTAAATGCAGCGTAATATTGA